CCAGCACCCAGCTCTTTTTCTTTCTTATTTTCTTTTTATTTATTTATTTATTTTGTCAGTCATGGGGGCTGAACTCTGGGTCTGGACGCTGTCCCTCAACTCTTTAGCTCAAGGCTAGAGCCCTACCATTTGAGCCATAGCGCCACTTCCAGCTTTTTTCTCCTTATGTAGTAATGAGGAATCAAACCCAGGGTCTCATGCATGGGAGGCAAGCAAGCACGCTACCACTGAGCCAACATCCCAGCCTTTCTTTCTTTCTTGGAGGAAGTTTTGACAGTTCCTCTAGCCCAGACTGGCCTCAATCACAATCCCGCCGCTACCTCCTGAGTACTGAGTTCTCAAGCATACCCCACTGCACCCTACTTCTTTTTATCATTAGATTGTTTTCCATTTTTTTCCTTGTCAGTTGTGGGGCTCGCACTTGGGGCCTGGATGCTGCCCCTGGGTTCTTTTTTTTTTTTTTTTTTGTCGGTCATGGGGCTTGAACTCTGGGCCTGGGCGCTGTCCCTCAGCTCTTCAGCTCAAGGCCAGTGCTCTACCACTTGAGCTACAGTGCTACTTCCAGTTTTCTAGTGGTTTATTGGAGATAGGAGTCTCACGGTCTCTCCTGCCCGGGCTGGCTTTGAACCGTGATCCTCAGATCTCAGCCTCCTGAGTAGCTGGGATTACAGGCGTGAGCCACCAGCGCCCGGCGATGCTGCCCTGGGTTCTTTTGCTGGAGACTACTGCTTTACCACTTTGAACTCAACACCACTTCTGGTTTCCTGCTGGTTAATTGGAGATAAGCAGGTCATAATTGGTCTGCTGGGGCCGTTTGTCTTTGCAGATATGAGTGAATGTATGTCAGGGTGATAAGAGGACTCAGCTGTAGCTCTTCTCACACAGCCAGTGACTGACTCGACCTTCCCTTTGTCTTCATTCCCTGCAGCTTCTCCCCAGCAGGGGAAACACAATGATTCCAATGATTCCTGATGGCTGTTTAGTAGGAGGTCTCAGGGTTCAGGCATCCCCGTGGCTCGCCCCCGTGGCCAGGCCCACTTGTAAACTGCACACAGTTGAGTTTTGACACCTAGTTGAGAAGCACTCCTGCACTCCAGACTCTTGCTGGGGCCACAGGCAGGCACTCCAGGGGGAGAGGCTGCGCCCTAACTTCATTAAGGGAATCTCATGTCCATGTGGCCACCTGTCAGAATGGCAGGACAGTCAACCCCCTGCGTGAGGAGCCCACTGAGCCTCCATTTTCCCTCTGACAAACGGATGAGGCTCCCGTAAGACAGTGTGTGAAGAAACACGCCTTCCCCAGCTCCAGCTCAGGTTCTCAGCCCCCCCCAGGCTTCCATGCTGAGAGCAAATGCGGTGGGTGTGGAGGAGGAGGACAGCCCCAGCAAACCTTCCCGCTGCTCCAGAGGCAGCTGTTCCCAGGATCTGCTTTGAATTAAACACGGCAGGCCCCTTTAAGAGAAGCATCTGTTGCCCCTGGCGGTGCTGAAAGGCTCCCGGTGGTGAGATCTAAGGGTTCCTTTCGGCCTCCCCAGAGGCCACGTGCAGGCCTGCAGGCAGATCACAGGGCTGGGGTCACATGCCCAGCCAGCCTCCCTGGCTGGCAGCCACCTTGCTGTGGAGACCGGGATGGGCAGCTGGATGGCTGGGGTCGGGTCTGCCATCAGCCCGGCCCCACCGAGCCTCTGGGAGGAGCAGGCTCCCAGGCCCTGGGTTCCAGATTGCCTCCCTGAACTCCGTGAACTTGAGCTCCACATCTGCCCAGCACAGCACAGGACCCACACGGGGAACCTCAAGGGTGCCCCCAAATCCCAAGTAGTCCCAGCACCAGTTGAGGGGAGCCCTTCCCATGCCCACATCTCCCCCCCCCCAGTTTTCCCTTGACGACCCTTGACCCTCCCCTCCCTGACAGCCCATGTCAGTGCAGAACAACAAGCAGCAGACCCTCCCCCCCCCCGCCCCCAGCGGGCCTCTCCATCAGACAATGAAGTGGGAAAAGGCAGGACTCAGCCACAGTGGGTTGTTGTGGGGGGGGGGGTCAAAGGTATTCAGGGGTCTGAGCCTGAGGCCAGAGATGCCTAGAGCAGGCCCGGCGGGCAGCATTGGGGGTACAGTGCATAGGTGGTACTCAGGCTCTACCTCTGTGGGAGGGCACTTAGCCCTGGGCTGCTTCAGTTCTGGGTGAGGAGTAGGGCTCTCTTTCTGTCAGATGGTCCCAAGGCCACTCCCATCAAGAGACCAGCTGAGTAACCAGAGCCAGCGCTTGCTTCCGGAGTGCCCGATCCCAGTGTTGGCCAGCCGAGGAGCCAGGGGCAGCTCTAGTGGAAGGCTCTGGTCTGACCCTACACCCGGCCATGTTCTCTCCCCTCCTCTGGCCTAGACTGACCCCAGGTGGCTTCCAGCCTCCTACCTGCTGCCAGTCAGCTCGTGGGGAGGGGCTTCCCTCAGGCCAGGGGTGGCCGGTGGCTTTGTGGAAACTCAAAGGGGATCTGCGGTCCTGGCCCTGGGGCCCAGGCTTCTAGCTGACCAGGAGCAGCGGGCCTCCCCAGAACATGTCATGGGGGAGGGGTGGCTTGCAGTTTCTCCCCTCAGTTGGGCCTCAGAGGCCCACAGGGCCACCAAGGTGGCTTTGTGAAGTGAGGTTCCTGAGGCCAGTACACAACAGCTGGTCCCCCGAAGGCCAACACCTGCTGTGAGAGCTGGGGGGGGAGGGGGGCAAGGGGGCCCAGGGGGCCCAGGCCCGGACAGACACCAAGTCCTGCCGCCCCGCCGGCCTGTGGGGTGGGGTTCTGCAGGTCTCAAGTAAGGCCCTCTTTGGCTATCTGGCCCCTAGCACCTCTCCTCCCAGCACCTACTGACCAGCCTGGACCACCGTGTGAGCCGCGGCGCTCACTCCCACAAGGTCTGCCTTGAGTCTTCATCCCAAGAACTGCACTTCTGACTGCTAAGGTGAGGCCCAGAATTCCCATCGGTTGACTGTGCTCACCTGTATGTGCATTCTTGGCCCCCCAATTCTCCTCCCAGAACCTCAGCACCAAACTGTGCCCGTCCTGCTCTCGGGGGCACTGCTCTGAACGTGGGGTTTACATTTTGCCAAGCCACCTTGCCACCAGGCAGACACCAGATCTAAGCTCCCATCACAAAGTGGGCTGAGAGTCAGGCAAAGGCAGAGAGCCAGCGCCCCGTCCCCGCCTGGCAGACAGAGGGCACGCTGCGTGCCCCGGCTGAGGTTCCAGCTTGCACCTGCGGCCCGGCAGCAAGGCAACTCACAAGCTACCTCCACGTTTACAATTCTACATGTAGTATGGTCACCATTTGTACAACCATCACCACAATCCATTTTCTTTTTTTGTGGGTCATGGGGCTTGAACTCTGGGCTTGGGCACCGTTCCTGCGCTCTTCAGCTCAAGGCTAGCACTCTACCGCTTGAGCCGCAACGCCACTTCCAGTTTTCTAGTGGTTTATTGGAGATAAGAGTCTCATGGTCTTTCCTGCCCAGGATGGCTTTGAACCGCAATCCTCAGATCTCATCCTCCTGATTAGCTAGGATGACAGGCGTGAGCCACCGGTGCCCACTTACAATCCATTTTCAACATTTCCATCACCTCAGAGATAAATCCAGCTTCCACCCACTAGTGGTCACTCTGTGGGGCTTCTCGGCCCCTGACAATTCTAATGCCCATGTGCTTTCTGTGTCTGTGAACTTGCCTATTTGGACATTTAATATCAATGAAATTATGCCATGTGTGCTGTGCTGTGTCTGACATTTCATTAGCATGGTGTTTTCAAAATTGTAGCAAGTGTCAGACTTCCTGTTTGTATCTGAAATGCATTCACTTGCAGAGATATGCCACAGCTGCTGATAGACCTTTGGCTAGTTTCCATTTTTTGTCATTGAGAACAGGACTCTGTGCTATTTTTGTGGGGGGGAGGTCGGTCGTGGGGTTTTTCCTCTGGGCCTGGGTGCTGTCCCTGCGCTCTTCAGCTCAAGGTGAACACTCTATCACTTGAGCCACAGCACCACTTCCTACTGTGGATATTCCTATACAAACTTGTGTTTGGACACCTGTTTCCAGTGCTTTTTTTTTTGTGGGGGGGTAACCAGTGCTGGAACCTGGAGATTAAGTCTCACAGACTTTGGCTTTAGACTGTGGTCTTCACCTGCCAGCTTCCTAAGTAGCTGGGATTTATAGGCTTGAGCCACTGCCAGTCTCTGGCTACCTATTTACAGTTCATTTAGAGATTAGAATTGCTAGGTCCTATGTCAGCGTTGTGTAGAACTTACTGAGAAGTCATTAAATTGGTGTCTGTGGCAGCTGACTACTCCACTCCCCGCCTGTAGTGAACGAGGGCTCTGCTTTCTCCCTGTTCTCACTAGCACTTGCCATTTCCACGCTTTTGCCCATAGCCACCCAGTGGGCGCAAGGGAGCGTCTGCAGTGCAGGTGAATCTCGAGTCTTGGCCATACACCATTAGCACCATGGTGGCCTCTGGTCTTGGTGCAGATGGCCTGAAAGCAGAAGCCTAGCACGGAGTGTCTTCAAGGACCTGCCCTCTGGGAAGATCTCACCAGGCCTGGGGCACTAAAAACTCCATGAGGACATCTGAGGCACAGAGGAGAAGCTGACCTTGGACACTGACAAAGCCAGGTTGTCGTGTTTTTGTTGCTGTTGTTTTCTGAGCTGGGAGGAAGAAAAGGGTATGAGGAGTCTTGGAGCATGTGGGTCCCAGTCCCTTAGCTTCAGAGTTGTCAGTCATTGAGTGTGGGGGGGGCGGGGATGGCGGGTCTTGGGTTGGAGGACTGAGTTCCAGGGAAGGTTGGCTTAAGTCCTCTTTGCTTCTGCTACTTGTGTTGAATAAACCAAAACACAAACTTGTGGTTCACAGTGTAGACTAAATCTTGTTACAAACAAATACTGGAGAATATAATATGCATGCTCTTCACTGGTCCTGGAATTTCACTGGCAATCCTAACAGCGACCCTGCTGAGCACTTTCCGCATGGGCTCCCATAATCCCTCACAACCTTCCGACAGAGGTACGGTCATTACCCCGCTTTAAAGTAGAGGAAATGGGGGTACAGAGAGAGGTCACAGGCCCTGCCAGGATCTCCCTGCCAGGAAGTAGCTCAAGGCCAGGACAGCGTGCAGCATTCTGCACAGCCATGCCACCCAGCTGGAAGTTAGCATTTCTCTGTGGAGACCCCGAATAAGACGCCTAGGGGGAAGGACTCCTGGGGCAGGCTCCTGCCCCATGCTGAAATCCAGAACAAGTCTGCCTTCACAGCCTGGGTATCTGAGCGGACACTTCAGGATAATGAAGCTGCTGTCCTGAGCCAATCTCAAACGTGGCCTTTAAACCGACCCAGCCATAGTGGAATGTCAAGTGCAGACTTCAGAATGAGTAAACCAAGGTGTAGATCCCGGGTTTCCTCAGCTTCTCTGAACTCCTTTTCCACAGGAAAGTGGGCATCTCCCCCAGTGCCTGGGAGTGGACCTGAACCCCTCACCCCCTCACCTGCCAGTGACCTGAACCCCTCACCCCCCGACCTGCCAGTGGACCTGAACCCCTCCCCCCCCACACCTGCCAGTGACCTGAACCCTTCAACCCCCGACCTGCCAGTGGACCTGAGCCCCTCACCCCCCACACCTGCCAGTGACCTGAGCCCCTCACCCCCCGACCTGCCAGTGGACCTGAGCCCCTCACCCCCCCCGACCTACCAGTAGACCTGAACCCCTCACACACACCCCGACCTGCCAGTGGACCTGAACCCCTCACCCCCTCGACCTGCCAGTGGACCTGAACCCTTCACCCCCCCACCTGCCAGTGACCTGAACCCTTCAACCCCCGACCTGCCAGTGGACCTGAGCCCCTCACCCCCCGACCTGCCAGTGGACCTGAGCCCCTCACCCCACCCCCAGTGTCACAGCTGTGCATGTAATGCACCTTCAGGCACACGTGGCACGTTAGTTCTGAAGTGCCATCTCAGGCTTCTCACTTCGTTCTTCACGAGCCAGCCTGCTGGCTATGCTGAAGTGTGTGTGTGTGTGTGTGTGTGTGTGTGTGTGTGTGCTGATCCAGGGGCTTGAACTCAGGGCCTAGGCGCTGTCCCTGAGTCTTTAAGAGTCTCAGGGACTTTTCCTACCTGGGTTGGCTTTGAACCTTGATCCTCAGATCTCAGCCTCCTGAGTGTCTAGGATGACAGGCGTGAGCCTGTAAGCCATGGGTTTGGATTGTCATCACTCAGCCTGGCACAGAACCTCAAAAGTGCCCTGGCTGTGGCCGCTGCCCCCAGCAGCTCCTTCTAAGTGAGAGGCTTTCTCTTCTCTGGACTTAGGAGGCCGGCCGCAGAAGTCCTACCAGGTGCATGGACCCTTGTCCTCAAAGGCAGGCCTGTTCGCTGTGTTTGGGAAGAGACCACCAGCCAGTAGGTAGAGGTGTGAGGGAAAAGGCGTGTGCAAGTGCGTGCTTTCCTCTCACCACCACTGCCTCCACCATCCTTCTAGTTCGGGTCTCAGGACAGGAGTGTGGTCCTATGTCGTCCACCTAAGGCAGGGCGGGGCACGTGAAGGGGCAGTGGACTCCGAAGGCCAGCACCCAGGGAGATGTTCTGATTTGCAGGTCACCAAGCCGGCAGCACGCCCGGCCGCGGGAGCGGCTGCGGGGTTCCCGGGGTCCTCGCGTG